TCTCACTCCTTCACTGTCCTCCCTTGCAGGCAGTATTCTTGTTCCCTCCTCACTCTCACCTCCTCTCCTTGTCCTTCCTAGAGCGTAGTATCTGTCCCTTCCTTCACTCTCACCTCCCTCCTCACTGCCAGGTAGTATTCTGATCCCCTCCTTCACTCACCCTCTCCTCCTAGTCCTCCTGCAGGCAGTATTCTGTCCCCTCCTCACTCTCAGCCTCCCTCCTGTTCCTTTCCCTGCAGGCAGTATTCCTGTCTCTCTCACTCTCAACTCCCCTCCTGATTCCTGCCCTGGCAGGTAGTTATTCTGTCACCTCCTCACGTCTCACCTCCCTCCTTGTCCCTCCCATGCAGGCAGTATTCTGTCGCCTCCTCACTCTCACCTCCCGTCTCTGTCTCCCTGCAGGCAGTATTCATGTCCCTTCCTCACTCTCGACGCCTCCCTCCCTGTCCTCCTGCAGGCAGTATTCTTGTCCCTCCTCACTCTCAACTCCTCCTGTCCTCCCTACAGGCAGTATCTTCTGTCCCTCCTCACTCTCTACCTCCCTCCCTGTTCCTCCCTTGCCAGGTAGTATTTACTGTCCCTTCCTCACTGCTCCCTTCCCTGCCTGCTGTCCAACCCAAAGGCAGTATTCTGTCCTCCTCACTCTCAGCCTCCTCCTGTGCCTCCCTGCGCAGGGCAGTATTCGTTTGCCCTCCTCAACTCTCACCTCCCTCCTGTCCCTCCCTGCAGGTTAGTTATTCTGTCCCTCTCCTCACTCTTCCCCTCCCTTCCTGTCCTCCGCTTGCAGGCAGTACTTCTGTCCCTCCTCCTCGCACCTCCCTCTGTCCTCCCTGCAGCCAGGTATCATGCTGGTCCCTGCCTCACTTCTCACCCTCCTCCTGTCCTCCCTGCAGGCCAGTTATTCTGTCCCTCACTCACTTCTCACTCCCTCCTGTCCTCCCTACAGCGTATAGTATTCTGTCCCTCCTCACTCTCAACCTCCCCCCTGTCCTCCCTGCAGGTAGTATCTGTCCCTCCTCGCTCGTCACCTCCACTCCTGTCCTCCCTTGGCAGCGTATATCTGTCCCTCCATCACTCTCACCTCCCTCCTGTCCTCCCTGCAGGCACCCGTATCTCTAGTCCCTTCCTCCACTCCCTCCTGGTCCTCCCTGCAGGCGAGTATTCGTTCCCTCCTCACTTCTCACCTCCCTTTGTCCTCCCTGCAGGCAGTATTTGTCCCTCACTCACTCTCTCCTCCCTCCCTACAGGTAGGGGACCAGCAGGCAGCCATGTTTGGAGAATGCTGCTTCGCGGTGGGTGACGTGAAATGTACGATGGGCACCGGAACCTTCATAGACATCAACACCGGCAGCAACTCACGCACGTCTCGTCGCAGGTAAGCACAGCAAACGAGCAGGATTGACCACACGCTCAACGAGGCGGAGGTAAGCACAGCGTTAACGACGCAGGTGACCACGTTAACGAGCAGGTGAGCGCAGCTAACGAGCAGGTAAGCACAGCTAACGAGCAGGTGAGCGCAGCTAACGAGCACATTGGCATAATGTGTTAATTCACTGCATTTTCTATCACGCTTTTGTTCATTAACAATGTGTTTCCATGTCACCTGTAAATAAACCACGTGTTTTCTGTACCGATGTGTTTAATGACAACGTGTTCTCTAATGATCTGTTAATTCACTGTGTGTTGTTCATCACCTGTTCACTAATGACGTGTTTTTAATTGAGGCCTCTATCCTCTCGTTGGTTGGAAGATGGAGGATGAGGTTGTGTATTTAGCAGAGGGAGGGTCAGCAGACACGGGAACAGCCATCTCCTGGGCTCAGGACATCGGTGAGTAGCGTCAGTCTAGCTACAGCTTAGACTGTCGCAGTATGCCGTAAACCTCATGAAAACTATAACGCCTCTAGGGGGCGCTGATCGATTGCTGCATGAAGCTGTCGCTATCCGCGATTTTAACAACGTTCCTCGATTTTCGGCGACAAGTTTTACAGAGTTGGCGATTTGGTGTGGAAATCGACCGACTATGTTGAAGCGTTTTACGTGATTGCTGAACTCTGCATGACCCGTGTTCCTGCGAGCGGGAGGCAGGATGCTGATAGCGAGGATGAGGGATGCTAATGTGTAGTTATGGCTTCGCGCTTCAGGACTGTTTGCGGAAGCGCGGGAGAGCTCTGCGATCGCGGAGTCTGTGAAAGATTCCAACGGTGTGTTCTTCATTCCTTCCTTCAGTGGTCTCCAGGTGAACATCTCAGTGTAACCTCACCTTACCCAGTTAGTGTTATCTATTGGTAGTGTAGTGTGATTATATAAAAACACGATAATGTAATATTTATTACTAATTATTCACATTACAGAACAATGTATGATATGTATACACACGTAGAGTAATCTGAGCACTAGTGCACCAGGAGTGAGACTTGATGCAAAACTTGTGGCGACGTGTGAGACGTTATACTAATTATTACGTTTACTGTATCAATGTTAAGCTTCTGTCTCTCGTCGCCTGCAGGCTCCCGTCAACGATGCGCAGGCGTGCGCGGGTTTCCTCGGTCTCTCCTCGCACACGACGAAGGCTCACATGGTTCGCTCGTTACTCGAGTCGCTTGCCTTCCGCATCAAACAGCTGTTTGAGACGATCGTTGCCGAGGCGACCTTTCCCGTCGGTAACATGAGGTGAGAGAGCGTCGCGGTGACGTCAGAGGGCTCGCACGAAAACTCCCACAATAAACGATTCATTAGTGCCGTGACAATTGTTAATTCCTGCAGTGAGTAAGGAGACGTGGGTTTTCAGTTTTAATTTGTTATTTGTTCTCAAGTTTCATGTACAATTAATAACGTATACTCGATGGGTTTAACAGCGTTGCGTCTTCTCAATCTGATCTTCTGCCACTGAGGGACATGGGAAAATAAACAAATCTTTCGTGCATAACATTAGTTAATGCACGAATTAAAATATTACCTCGACGCATAGTGATCTGCATAGTGCACAAATTAAAACATTGTACTTGGTAACGGTGTCGTCGGTGTTGTCTTAGCCTCTGCAGGGATGGGGAGGCGTGCCAAGCAACGAGTTTTCTGTTGAGCAGCTCATGTCGATCTTGATGTGAATCGAGAGATAGACAGGAGCGAGATCAGGTGACATGTAAGTTCTCGGCGTCGCCTTCCTCAGAGGATTAAGCTTAGTGCGTATATCAATACACTGTGTGTTGCAAGCTTGTGTGCGGGTGGTCTAACGGTGTTATGCTATATCTATTCATTAGCACACTTGAGGAGACGTGTGGGGGAAATGCAATTGAGTATGGTGTATCTGGCTAAGCGGGAAAATTCATTTGAACATGAGTATGGGGGTTTGTCGGTATAGAAATTCAAATGAGTATGGCATATTTGGTATGGGGAATGCACATCGAGTATGGCAATATTACTATGCGGAATGCTGCTAATATGACTTGAATTGATCCACTGGTATTTAGAAGATGCATATGAATGCTAAGAATTTTCTGATGTGGGCATGTTTTTGGTGTGAGTGCGGGGTGGTTGCCGCGAGTTCCAATGTGCACGGCAATGTTTCTTGTGCTTCAAGCAGTTGTAGTTCTCACACGCGGATCTGGACCAAAAGCTGAGACTGAAAAAACTTACGGTAGAGCGAGAAAGCGTGTTTCCTTCCCAACACTCAGCAGACGTGGACGAAGTACAGCGCCATCTACAGACGTGGGAAAAAGTCCCGATGCAGGCTCCTGCGACTGCGTCCTCCTCGCGAACGTATGCTTCCCCAAGTGCGCGGGTGTGTATCAGCATATCCAAGAGTGTGGTAGATTATATAGCGATACGTGATTAGAAGATAATTTTATTTCAACATTAGATTTTCTATCAAGATTAGTCTGAAATTCACGAACATGCTGTGAAGTGTGTGTATGTCTTGTTTGTCTTGTCTGATACTGTATACTAATGCCTGGTGTGACTATAGACGGCGTCATGCCTAGATTTTCATTCACGTTTTTTAAGCCGTGTTAATTAAGTTTTTAATGAAGCCCAAATCCGTCATGTTTTTAAATGATTGTGAATTTTACTGCGATGAATTTATATACACGATTTTAAGCCGAACAAGTTATAGTATTAGTGGGCGAATGTTTGTAAAAATACTAAGCAGTTTTGATACCAAGTTAATGTCAAATTTTTGGTTTAGTATTGTTATAGTATATTATCATATAAGTCGCTAGAAATGTAGGCTATGTATATATAAATATGATATTCTATACATAACAAGAACAATTGGCTTTATTTTTAATTATCTATCGCTAAATAGAGTTTTCTTTGCTAGCGGGGAATTTTAATTGAAAGAAGTAAAACTATGATGAACAGTACATGACACCTGGTCTACATATACATTGTTGATATCTGGCGAAACGTATGCTTGTAGTTCTCCTTTCATTGTCACAGAGTGATTCCGGTATTCTACATGTACACCGTCAGTCCGCTAATGCATAGGGGGTTTGTACCACGAGATTCGGAGTAAACATGGCGTAAAAGAATTGACCTCGGGTATCGTGGGTTTGTCCTGTTATTTGTTGAAACTAAAACACGTTATCAACATTGTGGCAGCGGTGGATGGCCGAATATATAGTCCAGGTTTTCGTCCCAGATTGGCCGAACACTTGAGCAGTCAGAGCCTGACGGAAAGGCCAGGTTCTCTGTCGCCAGAGTGTGTGAACGTTACACTCTGACAAGAAGGCTGACCGAAAGCTCCCTGCTTGCTACTTTGATGTATGCTAAAGAAGTGAGTGATACAAGTGGAGCAGTAGATCAAAATGCGTCTTGCGTGTAGCTCTTACAAGTATGGAGTCAACTAGGAGTGCATCGCGTGCAACTGACACCAGGCAGAAGTGGGCACAGACTGAGAAGGAAGCTTTGGCAAGTTTTGTTTGTACTGAATCGTTTTGAACCATACGCGCTATGGAGACCAGTAAGGTCGGAGATGACCACAAGCCATAGCCATCAATCTTGAAGAAATCGCATCACATGCGCAAGAGACTCCAGATTCATGATGAAGATACAACGCGATATGAGTCGAGTTGTGTTATAAAAGGCGATGAAGCTTGGTATTGCAGAACAAATCGTCGACCGCACAGCTGGATTTCACAGGGAATCATCGACGATGCGTCTACGCATCATGGCGTTGCATAGTCGTCTCTGGCAATGTACCTTGATGCGCGTCCGAGGAGCATTCGCAGAAGCACAAATCTGATGACAGTCTACACAGTATAATTTGAGCTGTATACGCTGAAGGATGGCAGAATCTGAAGACTGAACATCTCTTCTTCGTGCCATTACCTAATTTTTGAGCCTCCGTGATTCACTAAGTTGTTGACGGAATAATAGTCAAAGGTGAAGCAATGTAAATCCATCAAAACTGGACCGAGTATAAAGCGAGAACTCACACAGCGCATCATTTTGGAGCTATTGCAGTAGCTGATGAGACGAGCCCGTGAAGCTGTTATACTGGCTCAGGGATGGCTGGTGACATAAATCGCTGACACATGCGAAACATGTCAAGAAGGAAAGCCGAGAAACTCGCGAGAACCATTGCGACAGCATGAAGATGGAGATGCCCCCTGGCAAAGGTGGATGGACTTATTGAAGTTCTAGGGAAACACTACTTAGTGGTCGTCGACTATATTCAGGTTTCATAGAGTTGAGCCAGTCGAATCAATGAAATGTGCCAGAATTGTGAAGATTCTAAAGAGCATTCGCAAGATTTGGAATACCACGCTGATTATGTCAGATGGTGGTCCGCAATTTGTTAGTGCGGAATTCAAACATTTTGTCGAGACATGGGGAATCAGACACGAGACATCGTCTCCCATGCACAAAGTGAACGGCAAAGCGGAAGCAGCCGTGAAGTGATGAAAAGTTTTCACGAAGACCCAAAAGGATGGAGGAGATCCGTATGAAGCGATACTGGACAACGTAATACCCCGCCGTAGGATAATATTGCTCAGCCAGCAAGAAATGATGTTTGGTCGGAAACAGAAGTTTTCTGGCAAGTCATAACCGACAACGCACACAGACAAAAGAGGTGGAAGAAAGACGACGTCCTGAGAAAGAAGTCCGTAAGAAAACATCATGACGCGAAAGCGAGGAAACTCTCGACGTTGACGTCAACGCACCAGTATTCTTCCAACACTGGAAGGAAAGCAGTGGAAACCGGAAAGATTGTGAATTCGCGTGTCCCGGAGTACGAGGTGAAAGGTCCCGATGGTGCTATTTATAGGCGGAATGCGCATACATATGAGACCAACGATGATGCGACAGACACCAAAAATACGTGACAGATCCCCCTATCGGAGCATCATGCGCGAGGAGAATGCCGTTCGTAACGAACCCAGTCCTGAGTAACTCGACTACAGTGGTGACGAACATGCAGAAAAACTCAAATGACAGTTAGCATGGTACTAGTGAGAACAAGCAAGAACTGGTAATCAGTACTCCCATACCAGAGAGTAATGCAAATTTCAGACCCAAAAGAGCGGTGAGAAAACCCTCTTATCTGAAGGACTATGTTCAGTAACTTTCATGCATGGTATACTCGTGTACTACAAGTAGTGGACATGACATGTGAATATGTTTGTGTTTTCATGTTTAGTATTTCATATCAGTGAAAGTGGAAAAGACTTGTACTGAATTTGACAGTGAGTTAATTTTACAGTGAGTTTTGTTAATCAGTGACAATATTTGAAGCATCGTGAATTTGGTGCAAAGACTGAAGTTTATTTGTTATTATTCACGTAATGTTTGGTTCACAGTGCAGAAATTCAATAACGTGCATTATTGTTACATTTAGCTTTATGGTAAAGTTTATTTTTCTTTTAAAGTTCTAGAAAGACTTTAAACCTAAAGAAAAGGGGATGTTGATATACTGCGTAAACGTTAACCCGACCAGGCTGTGTGACTAACGTCAATACACCGGTATGCACGGGTATTCTAACCCTAGCAATACCGTTTCCTGGAGCTACGTAAACGTATGCTTGTAGTTCCGTTTCATTGTACAAAGTGATTCCGGTATTTACATGTACCCGTCAGTCCCATAATGCATAGGGGTTGTACCACGAGGATTCGGAGTAAACATGGCGTAAAGACTTGACTCGGTATCTGTGTTTGTCCTGTTATTTGTTGAACCTACACGTTATCAACATACATATGTGCACACATTGCATAATAATGTGAATAAATAAATGAATAGATAAACTAATAAATACGTGTATATCTATTTATGATGGTTCCTCTTAATATTATGAACCCAAAACAGTCTCACAGAAAATGGATCTTAGATCAGGCGTAACAAAAAAAATTGTTTGTTTCCGGTTACCCGACCGACCCTACCAAATAGTTGCCGACCCTAAACATTTTTGACCACTTTTAAAAATGAAAATCAACAAATGCATCGATTGGACCTTTAATATAAATTTAAGATGAGTTTATTACGAAGCATAACCCTGCACATTGCGGCATGCAGCCAATTAACTCACCTCTATAAAAGTAGGAAATGTACGAACATCGCGCGATGTTTACAAATGGAATCACTAGCGAGTAGGCCCTCTAGCGGCCGTTAAGTAAGACAAAATGAGTCCTAAAATTTCTTTGCAAAATAAAATTTTTTACCGGCCTGCCTACCCTAGTTTGAAAATTCATGTAACCGGAAACAAACAATTTTTTTTGTTACGCCTCATGAAACAGCCAAATAAATCTCAACAATAATCATTCTGAACAACAACTACAGTGTACACGTACATGATAGATATCTATGAGAGCAAGTATCAAAATACGTAGTCACCTTATTATAATAATAAATTCAATAACCCATTCTACGTAGGCACCTACGTTAGGTAGGTATAACCAAAGATCGTATAGTGCCGGAGGCCCTCTACGATCTTTGGGTATAACTGATTGCGTGCGCTGAGTGGGCTGTGTCTATGTCTATACTGTACGTCGACGCAGTCATACTTGACTATTATGCGACGGGCTATAGCTAGCCATGGGGTGCGACCTAAACCGACCAGGCTCTCCGACTAGTTACACGGCGGAGGACACGCCGCGTAGTGTTAAGG